TCAACAACACCTGGGGACCAACAGGTTGAGAAAGGCTGCCTTAGTGGAAAGGGACGGATCGCTGGTCTAACTCAGCTTTCTATGCTCCTGTGATTCCAGCTAGCAGCATCGCTGGCTGAATTTCATTTCTAGGACAGGAGACTAGGAATAAAGGTAAAGGGACCCCTGACCATTAAGTCCAGTTATACTGCTCCTGCCCACCTAGCAGTTCGAAAGCATGCCAGTGCAAGTAGATAAATAGGTACCACTGTGGCGGGAAGGTAAACGGCATTTCCATGCACTGCTCTGGTTTCGCCAGAAACGGCTTAGTCATGATGGCCACATAACCCGGAAGCTATACACCGGCTCCATTGGCCAATAAAGCGAGATGAGCGCTGCAACCCCAGAGTCATCTGCAACTGGACCTAACGGTCAGGGGTCACTTTACCTTTACCTAAGGCTATTGATGGCTGTCAATCACAATGGCTGTGCTCTGTGCTTCTGAATCCCAGTTGCTGGAAACCACAGGAGGGGAGAATGATGCTTTTGAACTCGGATCCCACTTGTGGATTTCCCCATAGGCATCTGGTTGGCCACTGTGAGAACAGGATACTGGACTAGATGGGCTTTGGCCCAATCTAGCAGTGTTCTCCTTACATCTTATGTACATATCCTTTGCATGTTGACTTGGAAGTATGGATGGAAGAATCTGACCATTTTGGCTTCTCTCATACATGTTTCTCATTCTTCCAATCCTCTCTCCACGGATCTATATCTGTGGAGGTAATGCTCCACTTTGCGTAGGCAAACCTCACACCAGGCATGCAACAGTATGTCAAGGAGTGTTGTGCCTGCTCTCCCTGACCTTTTCCCTTCTTGGCTAGAAAATAGGGTTTTCCCCCTGACCATTTGTCCTCTCACAGATTTGTTTACTAGATATAACGCTTGGCTGGAACATGACCGGGGACGCAGACGTAATCAAGTATCAGGGGAACATCTGAGGGAAACACCTGCTGACACGTGTATTTGCTAATGCTGGAAATATGCGTAGATGGAAATACATTAAGTTCAGGGTGGTTTCACTACTGTTTCCAATTGTTGACTTCTGCTAATAAAAGGAACCTCGGCAGAGCTAGCCGGCAGCTTGCTTGGAGCATGCTTGCCAGCGTGCTTCTGCACAGCTCACCTGCATCCAACCTCCTGTCGTCTCCGTTATTCCTACATATATCAGTTTGTGCTTTTTAAAAGAAAGTTATCCTGAAAATTCACAAGAATTTGCAGATTTCTCCTAACGTGCACGTTTTTGTCGGCAATGTTTTCATAATACGCACATGTTTGCAAAGCAACCCCTCCTTATAAATGCATCTCTGTATGTTGTTTTCAACAACGATGGCATTTGGGTGGACACTTTCACGCGGCATTTGCATTATTTTACACATTATTTGGCTGGAAAAACCGGACTGCAAAATTTATGGAAGTGAAAATTTTGAAGGATGGTTGAGTTTCAGTTCATGCATTGATGGAGAAAGTGTGAACTTAGGGTAAAGGTAAAGGGACCCCTGACCATTAGGTCCAGTCGTGGCCGACTCTGGGGTTGTGGTGCTCATCTCGCTTTATTGGCCGAGGAAGCCGGCGTACAGCTTCCAGGTCATGTGGCCAGAATGACTAAGCCACTTCTGGCGAACCAGAGCAGCGCACGGAAATGCCGTTTACCTTCCCGCCGGAGCGGTACCTATTTATCTACTTGCACTTTGAGGTGCGTTCGAACTGCTAGGTTGGCAGGAGCAGGGACCGAGCAACGGGAGCTCACCCCGTCGTGGGGATTCGAACCACCGACCTTCTGATCGGCAAGTCCTAGGCTCTGTAGTTTAACCCACAGCGCCACCCGTGTCCCGAACTTAGGGTAGTTTGCCTTTAAATGTCAACTGAATTGAATTCCCCCTCCATCCCTATGTGGAATGGAGTCCCACCATGCCTAGTGGAGCATCCTCCCTTGTAATGGTCCAAAAGACTGCAGCCCTCAGCCCTCTGATGAATCTGAGAAGGTCACCAGCATGCTTAGTCCTGCCCATCAACAGCGAAGTGGGAAAATATGGACAAGACAGGCTTTTGTAAGCAGCATGCTCAGACACCCACGTCACCTTCAAAGCAGGATGCATGCACTCATTGTCTATTAAAACAAACCCTCCCAGGCTTTACTCACGGGGCACCGTGCAATTTAAATCCTCCCCCCTTAATATTAATCACCAGGCAATTGCTTTTTGCATTTGAACCAGTCTTTAGCTACCCTAGGAAGAAAGTTAAGAAATATGCCGTATTCTGGACATACCTGTCCTTGTGGTTTAAAATGGGCTGAAGGCTTCGTGCATATTATTATATATTGAAGTGTGTTGAGAGAGCAACACTTTGGGGCAAATTTTAGGGAGAGGTGGGGAGAGGCCTAACCGCGAGCCTGTAATTTATCTGCTGGATGGACAAGATAAATATGTAACTGCGGAGGCCGTGCATTTTCTGTCTGTAGTAAAGCGAGGAGAGGAGAAAATTATTATGTTGTATCTTGCCAGGAAGATATTTCAGAATCTTCTACTTGTTTTATGCCAATCTTCACTTAGGTTTCACAGAGGTTTATTCAGATTGGCATCATTTTGTTTTATTTCATTTTAATATTTCATAACAGTGGAACAATCTTTTCGTTTTAACGGAGCATGTTGTGATCTGCCAAGGGTGGTTGGCATTCTAAGAATGTTTATGTTGCAGTTCACCTAACTTAAGAACTAACTTCATTCTATTTAATACTGTATTATTATTTTTTTGTGGTGGTCTGATGACTGGACAAAAATGGATGAATCAGAGCTGAACTGAACCATTCTCTAACGAGCTCCAGGTGGCAAAGGAGGATGGGGGGCAATTTAATTAAAAGTGACCCCCTTTTCCCATAGGGAATTTGCTGCCATCACATGTAGTTTGGTCCCAAGTTCACAGCAGAGGCACAACTTAATTAGCGACTTATTGCTTTAGAACACAGTTCAGTACTGGGCTTCAGTGGATCATAACCACAAAGTTTTATTCTTAGGGCAAACGAGGATATTTGTTTCTCAAGCGACAGCTTCCCTCTCCACGTATGATCTGCTCTTGAAGCAGATTTTGATAAGGATTTAGGGTGGAGGCGCTGTTTCAAAGGAGAGAACGTTGAAAACAGCAACAGCCAACCATGGTTGCTGTTTCAAGCTCCTGGTTGCATCAGAAGCAACTCTTTGTACCCTGGCAGGATTTGGGATGCTGGATTTGAAGTTCTCCCAAGGCAGGTTCAGGAAAAAAAACTTTGTGAGTTTGTCCATGCCTGACTCAAAGGAGAGATGAGCTTTAACAAACCCCAGAGTTATTTTCTGGCTCAGATTGAAATCTGAGCCAGAGAAGGATTTCTGGTTTCTCCCCTTATCCTGCCTCTCCCCAACTTGATCTTCTCCAGATGTTTTGGGCTACAACGTCCAACTTCCAGCCAGCTGTTGGGAGAGCAGATGCAAAGCTCGAGCCCGATAATGGAACTGGAGGTGGAAGCGGTTCTCCTCACCTAGCGCCACTGATTTTTGTCCTTGCAGCCTTTTAAATTCTCCCTGTACTCAATGAAACAGAGCAATGTCGCTCTATCACATTGAATGGTGGAATATTTTAGAGGCTGAAATTTGAATCATTTTTCTGGACGTTGGCTTGTAAACAATGATCTGGGGGTTCCCAAGATCTCAGCCCTTTCTGAATTAATGTGAGATGAGCTTGGGAGAGCTCATCCATCTTTGTTCAGGATTGTGTGCATGCTGCAATTCTATTGAAGCTCAGCAAAAACAAAGAAACAAACACCCCCCAAACCTAGAATTAGTTGTCAAAAACCGCAGGATTCAGCTTCCTGAAAATACAAACTTCTATTGGGTACATTTCAAAAAATCAATTTGCTAGCTTTTTTTTATTGTACTAGAGCATAATTTAAAATGCTTAGTGGCAAGCGTCATTTAGCCCTGCCTATATTGGTTTTATAAAACATACAATCAGCCCTATTGAATAAATAATAGGATGCTTTGGTTAAGTCTCTCTCGTCTACAATGCCATCCACCTTTGTGGGAAAGAATTAAGGGAATCGACCATAGCTAGCTACTTGCATACAAGATCCGCAGCTTTGATGACAATTAATTAAGGCTGCAGTGTGCAATTGGCTAGATGCGTTGATTTTTATCAAACAACCTTTTGATTAAAGCAGGTGTCCCTTGATTTGGTAGTAGATTTTTTAATGGAAGAATTAATAGTAACTGCAGTCGATGGGCACCATCTTAAAATGTATAGAAACTAGCCTGCTGTTGAAAGGGAAAATCAGCATGTGTTGCTTTGGGCGCCACTGGCAAGCGGCCCTCAGAAGGCTGAAGAGAAGGGAATGTGGCCCTTATGCTGGAAAGGATTCCCAATCCGTGAGGTACCGTATTTTTCGCTCTATAGGACACACTTTTCCCCCTCCAAAAATTAAGGGGAAATGTGTGTGCGTCCTATGGAGCGAATGCAGGCTCCTTGGCTTCAGCGATATCAACGCGAAGCCTCCGAAGCGCAGAGGGAGCACTCCCTCCGCACTCCGGAGGCTACGCATTGCTTTGGCTGAAGCCTGGAGAGCGAGAGGGGTCAGTGCTCACTGATTCCTCTCGCTCTCCAGGCTTCAGGGATAGCCGCCTGAAGCCTTTGGAGCGCAGCGGGAACTCGCGCTGCACTCCAAAGGCTTCAGGTTCCTTTTGCTGAAGCCGGGAGAGCAAGGCTCTCCTGGCTTCGGCAGAGAGGGAGAGCTGCGCAGCGCCCCTTCAGCGAAGCGGGAGGAGAAATGGAAGGGGCTCCATTTCTCCTGCCACTTCGCTGAAGGGGCGCTGAGCAGAGAGGGGGAGAATTTTTTTTCTTGTTGTCCCCCTCTAAAACAAGGTGCATCCTATGGTTGGGTGCGTTCTATAGAGCGAAAGATACGGTACATCCTTTTCTCTCTCTCTTTCTCCCAGGTCATTGTCCAGAGGTCTCTCTCAGCAAAGAACCTCAATCACGCCAAGGCCGGATCCATCCTAGCCAGCTATTTAAAAATGCTTCCCATGGTTGTCATCATCATGCCTGGAATGATAAGCCGGATCCTGTATCCAGGTAAGTTGCAATAACCCCGAAGAAGGAAACTCAGGGACCCAATCCTTACAGTTTTCTAATAATCTTGAGGCACCATGGAAGGAGGAGCTGTCACGGAGGCCACAGGCCTCTTCTTCTCTTGCCTTTAACCATCAAGTGTTACTCTGAGGTAGACTTTCCCTGGACTTGGAGGTTCCATTGAGCCACCATGACTAGTAAGGTAAAGGTAAAGGTACCCCTGCCCGTACGGGCCAGTCTTGACAGACTCTGGGGTTGTGTGCCCATCTCACTCAAGAGGCCGGGGGCCAGCGCTGTCCGGAGACACTTCCAGGTCACGTGGCCAGCGTGACATCGCTGCTCTGGCGAGCCAGAGCCGCACACGGAAATGCCGTTTACCTTCCCGCTAGTAAGCGATCCCTATTTATCTACTTGCACCCGGGGGTGCTTTCGAACTGCTAGGTTGGCAGGCGCTGGGACCGAACAACGGGAGCGCACCCCGCCGCGGGGTTTCGAACCGCCGACCTTTCGATCGGCAAGCCCTAGGCGCTGAGGCTTTTACCCACAGCGCCACCCGCGTCCCCCACACCATGACTAGTAGCCATGGATAAATCCACCCTCCGTGAGCTTGCCCAGTCTCCTTTTTAAAAGCAAGGTGTGGGGAAGCATATTTGTTGGCAGTTCAACAGCAACAAGTTTTATTATACTTTTAAGAAATATGTAAAGGGGTGGGGGCACGTGTTGGCCTTGCGTTCTTCCTCTTAAGTAATAGGGAGGGTTCAGTGGAACATGAGGTGATAACCTCGTATATGATGACGGTGGCAAGAAGATTATATTGCAAAGAAATGGAAGCAACGAAGAAAGCAGACAACGAAAGAGAATTGATTTCATCGTAGCGTTGACAGATCAGGAGCACCCCAGACTCTAGAATTTCAGACCTCAAACCTGACATATAGGGGGTGGGTGCTGGTGATGTCATGGGGCAGATCCTGGTTATCCTTCCTCTGCACTCCCTCCCAACACTGAGCCCTGGAGACAGAAGTTAATTGGGACGGGAGAAGAGAGTCCATACAATAATTTGCAGCCAGGTCTTTCCAGGCTAAAGCTTGCATGCTGCACACATCATTGTCTTAATCATTTTTCAGTATTAGCGGGACCCTTGTTCGCCTGGAGATTCAAGCCCTTCCCTTGCTACCTGGAGGGGGCCAGGCAGACCTCAGGGGCTTTCGGCCAGTCCTGGAGAACTGGCAACCCTGTTTGGTAGGGTTTGCAATCAGAGGCGATTTTGAAAGGGCCTCTGAGCTCTCAGTGGCAACTGGCAGCTCATCCGAGCAGCCCGAAACACCTGGCCTGTTTAAGCATCTTGCAAGCGTAACAGAAACCAGTCTGACCCAGTCAATAATAGCATGCCAGGTCAGGGGACGCGGCTGTGTCAAGACTTCAAAGGCATCGGCACGCCCAGCCTTGCAAAAGTCAGCCGGCCCCTGGGAGAGGGAAGGCGAGTTGAAAGTATCATCAGCATCTTAAGTGGCCAAGCGCAGGCAGATAATGTGTTGTGCTTGGCTCAGATAAGTTTTCTTTCATCCAGAGAACTATGTTCTTACATCACCCACGGCTTGCAAGCCTCCTAAGCACAGCTACTCAGAAGTAAGGGTGCAACCTATATAAGGATGGATAGATCTGGCAATTTAGGCGCTCTCAGTTTCTCATGTCCCCAGTCTTAAAATCAGTTCCCACATATTTCCGCAACAGTCCGCAATCACTATTTCGTTAAGGGGGAAAAAATATAGAATCCTCATGAAAACCAATCAACATTTTAGTGCGAGTTTTTCTTAATAAACACATTTTTGTATGCAGTTTTGAACAATATGGACTTTTTTTTTACAAGCATCTTCCTCGTTAAGCTATGCCAAATGTAAAAGACCCCATAGCGATACCCCCCCAAAATGTGTATTATTCTAACAGGAAGAACAATGAAAATAGAAATAATGAAGTTTTATATTTCCATATATACACATACATAGGCGAGGATGCAACTGGAAACGTACAACTCGGCAAAAATATGTAACTTGCCATGAGCCTATTTATTTCTTGCCGGCTGGGCAAAACCTGAAATTTAGCCAAATAAAATTTATTGAGAGGCCCCTTGTTATCTAAGGCTCTGAGCTGCAGCTTACTTAGCCTGTTTGCAAATCCCACAAAGCCAGCCATTGCAATGTTGACGAACAGATGCCGCCCTCCCTGTTTTATAGCGTGTTTGTGACGCTCCTCTCGTGTGAGAATGCGCCCAGGCATTTATGCTTTTGATGACCGCGTTTGGAACAAGGAGAGACAGCGACGCAGCTTAAGGAGGGTGTGTCTTCGTGGGCAGGCCGGGCCATGCCTCACTCCGCTTTGCATAGGTGGCAAAATCCACACACACTGCTCTCGCTTAGGTGCCAAACAGGCTGCAGCGATTTGGGACGGCAGAGGCCCGAAATCCCGCAGGCCTGGGGCTGTTCCTCTGATTTCCTAACGCGGATCAGCTTCCCCTCAAAATGCAGCGGTTTGGGAGGAGCGGAGGCCGTGTTAAAATGTCAGAGTCTGGCAGACGTATCGCCTCTGGCAATATGAAATTAAATGATTACGTGTGGGGCCTGCAACAAAATGTTGCAGCGGTGAGTCCTCCTTCTTAAAGAGCTCCGTCCCATTTTCTCTTCTACCTGGTGTTCTGTCTCACTCCACCTCTACCCAGCAACAGCTACTGAAAGTGGGCGCTCAGTCCTTTGGTGGGCACCCCCTCTCTCCCCTCACCCCCGAAGACTTGTTTTTCTAAGTATTTATTTGTCAGGGTGCGGATATCTCTCTCTTGTCAGTGCGTAGTTTTGTTACGGCTGTATAAGAACCAGCGTTTGGAGGACTGAGATCGCTCTCACTTTCACCCAGTATTAGGCCCGATGTACTCTATCCGTTTGAAGTATCCTTTCACTTTAAACAATTGTGGTTTCCTTTGAAGAATCATGGGAAGTGTCGTTTAAGGATGCTGAGAGTTTTTAGGGCACCTCTTGTATTCCTCCCCAGCAGAACTACCAGAGGGGTTAACAGGCCAATGCTTCTCCTTAGAGAACTCTGGGAATTGTAGCTCTGTGAGGAATGGAACAGGGGTTTCCAAACAAGTTGCAGCACTCTTTAAAAAAACCCCGCAGCTCCCAGAATTCTTTGGGGGAAGCCACAACTGTTTAACGTGGCATCAAAATGCTTTAAATGTATTGTGTGAATGTGACCATGGTTCTCCGAGTCGTCTGCCATTTTGGAACGCACAACCAAACCAGCTTTTTGGCCAAGATCTTTTGATGACTGTCTTGGCGTCTCTTACGCCAGAGTTCCCACCTCCAGAACCCGGTGCCTTCCTCCCATCTGCCCCACCCAGTGAAAAATACAGATTATCAGGTGACAGTCGCAGTCATTAGCACAGCAATCACACATTGGGATCAAAGCTATATTATTACAGGTTTGATCCTATATAGGTTTGACCTATATTAGCTCTCAGCTGTACTTCGTGTGCCGTCTCTTGTTACGTTACAGAACTTTACAACAAGCTAAGTGTAAAAGGGTACAACAGATAATCCTACCTGTGGAGCATTGCTCAGACAGGTATTGTAGCCGTCGGGCAAAGCATGCGGATTACGGTCCCTTCCCAAAACACACCTAATCTCCTCCACGCTGTCGCTTCTCCTCCTCATCTGGCTGGCCATCCCCAGGCTTAGCAGCGGCTGGGGGCTCCCCAGAGGACTGGGGAAGGTGCCCCGGCTCATGTAGGGCTCACTCAGCTTCCTCTGAAAGTCTGGGTGGTGCTGAGGGCTGTGGCCGCCTCCATTGGGGAGGAAGTCAGAATTGGTCCTCCGCAGAGGCCCGCAGGGCCGCCTCCCCTTGCAGTATTCATCGGAGATGGAGGATGCGTCGGAGTGGAGCTGGCTGTGGTTGGTGGCAGAGCTGCCGGACAGACTCTCGTGGTCGCTTAACGTCACATAGTCCTCCTCTTCCTCTTCCTCCTCGGCCTCGCCCCCTTGAACCCCGTTCACGGGGAAGGGGGCTACTTCCTCATAGACGGACGCCTGCCGACTGAGTTTGCAGCTGCTCCTTGCATCGGGACCCTGTTCGGGACTCTCATTCTGTGTTGCGTTTGTGGCCCCGGTCCCCGCCTGCTGCGTTTGGGGGTCCTCTGCCGAAGCAGCCCCATCCTCGGCACGTACAGTTTTCGCGGAGATTAAGTCCGTCACATGGACTGTCCGTGGTTTGGGGACCGGGGGCGCGGCGCCCTTGCTGTCCACTTGGCCTTGAGTTTGTGCGTCCAGCGGCTGCTTCAAGTGCTGACTGTCGGCCAGAGTGGCGAACGTCTCTCCATTACTCGGGTTTCCTGGAGTCTTTTCCGTGGGGCTGGCTGTCGGGTTTGGACGGGCCTCCTGGGTTTGGGCCGGGGCAGCGGCGGCATCGAGCTGTTGGCAAGGCGTCGCGGCAGGCTGGTTGTCGTGGCCTCTTTTAGCCTCTTGAGATTTTTGCCTGAGCATCTTCTTGTGCGGGGCGTTGGCTTTTGAGATGTCGCACACCTTGATGCGGTTCATCTGTGACAGCTGGATGTTCTTGATTTTGGGGTCGAAAATGTTGATGTAGCCCAATATCTCGCTCCCGGGTTCTGGGTCGGGTTCAACCCAAGTTGGCAGGTATTCAAACATGTTGGCTTTCTCCAGGTTGAGCAGACCCGGGTGAATAGGCGGTGCCGTCTCTATGATGTCGCTGGGCCTCTCGGATACCCGAGCCTCCGGGATGGCTTTCTTCTTCGCTTCGGCTTTCTGCTGCTCAGCGACGTTCTTGTCACTGCTGGCCTTGCTGTTGTTAATCTGCTCGGCGCTCTTCGCCTTGACGAGGGCGTACTTGGGGTTGAACATTTTCTTCACCACGGCTGGGTTCACGGGGGCAAGAGTGGGTAGTATGAGAGGCTCTGGTTCCGGCTCCTCTTCCATGGGGATAGATTTCAGGCTGACCCC